GTTTATTGAAACTTTGGCAGTGAGCATTACGATAAATAAGGACATTATAGGGATATTATGGGGACAACAAGAACACAAACTGCTTTTATATGCGGACGATATTTTATCACTTATAACACATCCGCTTACATCTTTCCTACACCTAATGGACACTATACAGATGTATTCAAAGGTGTCAGAATACTCAATAAATTGCACTAAATCTGAAGCCATGCCATTATCCTCTATATGTCATTCACACATGGTCAAAGATTTTAAATTCAAGTGGGTACCTGAAGGCGTGAAATATCTTGGGATTAGACTCAGTAGGGATTTGGAAGCGATAATTTTAACCCGGCGCTTTCAAATATTAAAATAAACTTTGAAAAGTGGGAGAAGATGAAACTAACACTGTGGGGTAAGATTAATAACCTGAGTGAAGTCGCCCCCTCAACTTCTTCAAATCAGACAAAATGGGTGTCAGTCAACTTGACTACATTTGGGCTGGTTTGTGCAGCAAAAATTTTGGTTTGTGAATGATAGCAGTACAAACGAAAGTTTTTGTTGCACAAAACAGAACAAACGTTTGACACCAATTTTGTTTGATTTTATAAAAGTGGGGTGGGGTGGGGGGATTTTACCTTTGACCTTTAACCTTTCAATAATATCTTCAAAGCCAAAGTGGCACAAATGTTTAACACCAATTTTGTCTGATGTGAAGAAGGTAGGGGTGCCTCCTTTACTCAGGTAGATTTCTGTCATAAAAATGTTTACTGCCCCTCAGTTTAGCTATGTGCTTATGAGGCTTCCCATTATAATTACACTCAATATTTTTAAAAGGTATGAAAATTTGATTTAACGTTTCTTGTGGGGAAGTAAAAGAGTGAGAATAAAAGTAGAAAAATTGTATGATCCTAAGGAAAAAGGTGGTGTAGAACTTCCGGATACTAAGCTCTACTGCTTGTCATTTGAGATGGTTGAATTAATTAAACATTGGAAAGGTTCTGGATGTGCACTTGTAATCCAGCGCTACTTTCAAAGTGAGAACAAGCAGGAGTGGTTAAATACTGACACCTGCTCAAATGGTGATATTTATTCACCTTTTGACCCAAAACACAAATTATCCCAAAAGATTGAAACAACAAGTCCATTCTATGTTCATTCTTGTAAAGTTTGGTCAAAGGTACACAAACTGTTAAAGCTGCCACATCAGGTAGAGAAATATGTGTCTTTCTAGAATAATCCTGCCATATGGGTTATCCTGTGTTTTGGAGGCAGTAGCATTCATGTAGCATATGCGCCATTGGTGATTTGTATAAAGACGGCCAATTCATGTCCTACAATGAACTAACTCACACATTTGATTTGGAAGGTAATTTAGTAAAATATCTACAAATGAGACGCTGTGTTTCCTCAAAATGTAAAAACACTGTAGAAAATGACATCTTGAACTATACTAGGATGCCATGTGATCGACACACCAGCCTTTTCTGTCTCTGTTCCTGTTTGTGCTATTATTCAGGAAATCAAGAAAATTTTAATTACAAAAACAAAATCATCTAGGGGGTGCCGTGGAGGAATTAAGCCATGCCCACTAAATATTGGACTGCATTCCTGTCGAGGGTTGGACAAGGATTGATCACAGTGATGCTTGTCACTCCACGTATGGCAACAGCATCACCTGCTGTGACTTTGCCACGTTGCCACAGCCTCCACTGAAAACTCTTTACGCTTTAAAGTAAGTGAGATCAACTAGTTATCTGTGATCTGACACAAGATCATCTTGATTTGGTTGAGGGGTCGCAGCTGGATCTCTTTCAGAATCAAGTTTAGAAGCCACAGCAGTTGTTCTGCTTGTGCAGCTCAATGTGAACCGCAAATATGGCGTGTGTTTGGAGATGCTTGTTAAGCCTGCAGTGAGAATGATAAATCTGTGAACAAAGAATTATGTGCAGTACGTCCATTTACATCTCACACATGCTGCGCAACGCATGTGTGAGATGCGCTGAGCAGCATCACATCTGCTTCCCAGCAGATGTGTCTGTCCTAATAAAGTTTATGTATGTGTTCCTGATTAAACGAGTGACAGGCCCGGTGGCATGGATGGGCACTGGGGGGGCCATTGCTCACCCAGGGAGTCAATTGTGTCCACACTACCCTTTCCCCCGGATCCCTCAGAGTGGTCGACTTTCTGTTATTCCTATCTCGATTTCATACAGTAGGGGCTCCCGTTCTCTGTACCCCACACTTTTTTTTAGTTGTTACAACTATTTTATTCATTGTTAACAAGTTGTAACGTGCTTCTCTGAGCCCCCTTTAAAAGCAGCATGGGCACTAAGCTGCGTGCGCCAGTTTTTACACCTGTGCAGAGCAGGTGTGAGTTAGAATCATGGCAGCAAATGGCAAAGAACTTTGCATAGTTTCCCCCCCAAAACTAACAGAGAGAGTCAAGTAATGCTGTTGGATACAGATAATGTTAGCTAAGTGATGACTAGCATCTGTCAATATAAGCTTGTTAACAAGATTAGGCTACTGATTTTGTTAGTCTGTTGAAAAGTGGGAAGCACTGGTTACATTTACTTGAGTCACTTGTTGGGGGAACATTTATCTATATGAGTAGTTTTACTGCTCTGTGCTTTTTTCTTGTACCTGAGTAATATTACTTACTTGAGTAGATTATTTTGCATTTAGAGAAATAGACATCAGAGATTGGATTCTTAGATTTCTGAAATATTTGAGCGAATGTTAATGGAAATTTGAGCATAATTACTCAAAATTGTCACTGTTTACATTCTTATTGTTTATTTTGTATGAATAAACATGGTTATTTTATTTGAAAGGTTAAATAAAGGTTTGTTTCTGTATTTATATTAAAGTAAAAGCTCGTTTAGTCAAAATAAGCCAATGCCCTTTGCACTTTTACAAGGTACAGTAAACTTGCCAGCTCCTTAAAATCCTAAATTTAAATGATAAATTTAAATCTTTTATCTATTCTGAAACCATTAAATGGAGTTTAACATCATTGGGATTCTGAACAAACGTTTTTATATTTGTACATCTGTGGTCTATGTTAAAATGTGGTCTCAAACAACACCAAATATGACATGAAAGCTGTGTATTATTTCCTTATTTCTCACAATTCTATGCTTTATTGGCCTCATCCCATAAAAACACATTGTAGTTTGCGTCTGGAACATGCCTAAATGTTCAAGGGACAGGAACACTGACAAGTACAGACAGAAAATTAGATTATTTTGTGGTTTCTGTCGTTCTGTCCATACCTGTTGAGTCTCCCATTTTGTCCAGGAATCTACAATGTTTTACCTCCTTTCCTGCCGTACTTATGTAATTATTATTGTACCATAAATATCCCAGATTGTGCTGCCTGCTCTCACATTAGTTGCTCTCCCAGGTCTTACGGTACGATATACAATTCCCCCACCGCTCTTACGTTAGTCCCCCGGTCCTATTACGTTATGTTCTCCCCCCACCACACCCCTTTTCTTGTCTCCCACCCCTTCCCCCTGGACCGTGACATATCTTGTGTTTTGAAGACAAAAACCTGGCAGGTATGGTTCTGGCTCCTCAAAATAAGCTACTGGACTGGTCTGGAAAAAAGGCATTTCTCTTGGCCCTGATGCACATTTGTGCAAACTTTACTTTACAATGTTAATGTGTAAGTGGAGGTTTTAGATTTAAAGATCTAGTTTGAGATTTCAGCATGAACTGTGACAGCGTGGAGGGTGAAGGGATGAATGGGGACCGTGATAGTGGAGTACCAGTGTTCAGGCCTTTTTGTTTAAGGATTTTCTGTATTTTGTTGTTGGAGAAAGAGATAATGGAAGTAAAAAAGCTGTCAAGTGTTCTACAACTTCATGACTTCCCACACTTGAAAAAGGAGAACTTGAAGAGACTTCAGGATTTCACTCAATCTTTATTTACACTGGTGAACGGGAATCGATGAAGAGGTGAAAAACCTACAAAACACATACAAATTTTTAAACATGGGTTTTAGACATTTTGGTTTAAAGTCAATAATTTACCTTAATTATCAATTCCATGATTAACTTCAGACATGTATTTCTTTCACCGTTTTAACCATGGATTCAAGAATTATATGATTGAATCTTTTATTTGGTTGAATTAAACAAATCTTACATGAGGTCAAACATATTTTCCTAAATTAGAATTAAACTTTTTTTCCCCTCAGGATATAAATTTTTACATTAATTAAATAACTTAAATATGCATTTAATAGAACCAAACTGTAAAACGCAACAGTGCAAACTGTCCCTTCAATAAATTCTACCTTTATTTTACTCAAATGCAAAACCAAAGTCAAATTACATTTCAACTAAGTCCTTTTCCCATGAAATGCTGCTTTGGTGATTGTGTCTGCCTTCCTCAGCTCTGTTGCAAAATCATCTATGTGGTTGGTGGATTCCTTATATTACCTGAGTTCAGGGTGCTGCTGATTGGACCAGATTTCTTTCACCTGCTAAGAAGTGCTGCAGAGTGGCGCACAAATATGTGTGTTTATGCACCCATATCTGCACCCATGAGCAGATCTGTGCAACATTTGACAGAAGAAGTTGGGGGATTATGTACTGTTACTGACACAGAAAAATGTTTCTGTATTACCTTTGCTACTTGTGACTAAGTTACAAAAATAGTAGTAATTATAATTGTTAGTAGTTATAACAACAAGTCTGGAAGTAGCTCCCGCCTCATTCCTGTCTAAGCTTAACTTATTCACAAAATCAGTATACAACAATTCTACTGAAACATCTGTGTGAATGAGCAGGGCGAGCTGTAAGCCTCTGAGGTCAAAGTTAACACCCAAGAACTACAAGTAGCAGCTGCTAAACAGTTTTGAAGCATCATGTTTGAACTGAAACTGGAGCCACTTTTGGGACAGTTTTCTTTTTAACTTTGCTGTTTAAAATGTAAAAACCTAAAGTACTTTAGTTGTTGAACAAAGTGAAGATTCTATTCTGACCTGCTTTGTGTTTGCTTTTCAGGTCTGGATCCCTGTCAGCGTCAGGGAATGGAGGATTTAATTTCTGCAGCTCCGGGTTGCTTTGACCATGCTGCTCTGTTCTCCATTTTACAGAAACACACTCTGCAGCACCGCATGAATGACTCCTTCTCCTGCCTGGTATGTTGCCTCGAACCTGTTCTTTAGGCCACTGGTTCCAATCCCTGGTCCTCAGGTACCCCAGCCCTGCATATTTTAGGTGTTTCCTTGCTTCCGCACCTGAGGAGGCCATGCAGTCATTTGAATGAGGTGTGCTGGAACAGAGACATCTAAAACATGGGATCCCTGCATGTTGGGAATCACTGCTCTTAATGACAATGTGATGTTAGACGAGGCTCAAAATATTTCACAGAGGGCAGCTGTCAGTTTCACTGGGTGACTGCAGGTACAAAGTACACTTGATTAATGTCAAACATCTGCTCAGTGATTTAGACAATTTACATGACCTAATAAATACTCATATGAAGTAGAAAATAAATTATACCAATCTGACCTTTGGACGATGCATTTAAGTAACTGAAATTCTATTTGTGCTCAAATTTAAATTTCATAGCTAAATCATTTTGGACCTATGAAGTGGACATTTTATGTGAAAAAAACCAGATTACTAAAATACTTTTCTTCTCTGCAAATGGATAAAATCATTTTATTTACAAAACAAAACCAAACTGTAAATAAAGCATGTGATAGATTCATTTTGGATGCAATATGAAACACATGCATACTAGTGATTCAACTGGAAAAGCTTGCTTGCTTCAAGGTCTGTAAAAAAAGCCTTAAATCTTGTCAATTCAAATTTACAGGAACAAACATGCTCCACACATGTCCCTTCATCCCCTCATCTAATTGTCAGTTGCTCCAGTTGATGCCTGGTACAGCACTAATCATCCAGATACTAGCAAACTGGACTGTATTTATTTGTTGTTGATTAGCCTATTTTGTCAGTGAGCATACAGCCATTTAGTAGTCTACAATTTACAGTAGCAGCATGATAAATTGTCACAGAGTTGATGTATTTCTTTAATTAGTGACTCTCTAATATCATAAACATTACATTTGCTCCACACAGAGGGATAATCAAATGAATGAAGGACTTCCTCAGTATGCAGCAAAACTCTATGCAGTAAAAACTACACATGCATGCGCAGTACTATTAGTGATCAGTAAGTAGTACTGATCACTAATAGTACTGCACACAGTAGAACTGTCAGTTCAGCATACGCTACAAGATTCGACAAAAAAGGTCAATAATTTTTTTCTTATGATAACTGAATGGATATACGTCCAAAGTGTATTTAAAGCAGGGTCTAGAACAGGAGGGTCAAACTCCAGTCCTCCCCTGTCCTGCAGTTTTTAGATGCAGAACAGGGGAGGACTGGCAAAACATTCCAGTACAAAACACTGGAATGAAATGGTTTAATTACCTCCTTCTTGTGTAGATAACTTCTCCAGAGCCTTGCTAATGATGCCGTGCAGCAGAGGCTCATCTAAAGGTTGCAGGGCAGCGGCCCTCCAGGACTGGAGTTTGACACCTGTAGTCTAGGTACAGCTACAGTCAATCACAAAACATGCCCTGTATAAAACTCACCTTCCTGTTCGTTGATGATGGTCTGACTAGTTAACTGCTAAGTCAAGATGTCATAATCACAAAATGTAACTTCTACGTCATAGTGTCATGTTGCTGATTAAAGAAAAGCACATGGTAATCACAGTGTATACTTCTCTGACAGATATAGTCGTCAGTTTGTGCTATGTTTATGTCGATCTGATCACTTTTTACATGTTTCCACTCTATTTTTGATGATTTTTCATGGTGATGAGTTTGAAGCTTTTGAGGTTTAAAGTCATCTTTACCATCTGCCTAAACTTTAGCCCTCTTCACAAAATCTCAATTGGAGATTGGTTTGGTCTGGCCCAGTTTTTTGAACTGGTTCAGCCCAAAAGAATAATAATATGTCCAGTAAGAAGAAACATGCGTGTCTAACTGAAAGATTGCCTTTAACCTAAATCTGCCAGGGGTGTGAATAATTCTGGGATTAATGGTAAATGTTTTCTTTCTGCAGGATTCAGGGGAATACAGATCCATTTATAAATTAGAATGCCATTGAAAATTGTATCTATTTTGGTAACTCCATCACTCAGTCATGCATATTACATAGATTAATTGCACACTGACTGTTTCAAGCCTTTTTTTTCTTTTAGGATCACCTTCTGCTTCCAGCTAACAAAAACACATCAAAGATTTGAATATTATATCAGACCAATAAAAAAAGAAAAATTAACAATATTTCAGTTGTTTCATTGTTGAAACTGCCAATGTAAACCAGATGCAACTTTAATTAAACCATGTTGCCTGTATAGAAATAGATGAAAACATTATGTTTCCTTATGCTGGTTTGACTTTCTGCTGTCTAGGCCTTATTGCTGTCATTGCTTCTATCCTCCCAACACTAAATTTATATGGCTGACTCAATGTGTGCATGATAGCTAATTTAAACTTTCACTTAGAGATAACTAGAGCTGGTCATTTAAAATCATTTTTACATTTGCCACCCATTTCTTGTAGGAGCTTAATGCTGAAGGGGAAGAGACGTTCCTGCTGAGGCTAAAACACATCCGAAAACATTTTGAAGAGACATAAAAGCTTTCAGTCTGTGTGTGTGTGTGTGTGTGTGTGTGTGTGTGTGTGTGTGTGTGTGTGTGTGTGCTGGTTTATTAAACTGCGGGGGGTCTCTCACACTGATTGAAGAGTTAAATGTTCTAATCAATACTTTCCAAATGGGAACACGGCCCAACTGCTGTGCCGACTCACTGGAGACACAGAAGGGAGGAGGGGGACTAATCCTAGATAAGAGTTTGGAAGGAGAGAATAAACTGAAGGCTTTTGTGTTGTGTGTAAATTAGCAGACTCTGAACCATGAACATCCCAGGCTCTCTGGATATGAACTATGTTCAGCATTATGTAAGGATCTTCCTCAAATTACCTCAGTGTTGCACACAAAGCTGAGATGTGTGTTTTTAGCTGGTCGGTCTGTTCTAATCCAGGGATGATTGACTTTACATCCAATTGCTCACCGCCGGCAGAAATTTTGATAAGCTGACTTTATTTTCTGTTCTCTCTGTTATTTGAACAAATGAACTAAAATGTGGGGCAACGTTAAACCAGGGACGCAGCACAGAAGTTGGCAGTTTATGTGGATACATGTCAGATTCAGATTTTGTCTTTTGCTTTTCCCACATCAAAATAAGTCAAGTCAAAGTTTATCTATATAGCACATTTACAACAGCCTCAGCTGACCAAAGTGCTTCACAACAAACATCACAGGTAGATAAATGACAAAATAGAAATGAAATTAAGTTTAGTAAAACTAATAAAGACAAATGTAAAATTGGCAGAGATACCAATTGAAAAGTTAATACCATGAATAAAAACCAAACAATTTTAAAATTTAGCTGCAGTGATTTTCTTCCATCATTTACCTTTTTCTCTTTAACTGGTGTTGAAGGCCAGGGAGAATAAATGAGTTTTCAGGCTGGACTTAAACTGACCTGCTGACTGAGAAAGCTTAACAGACAGAGAAGACTCTGTCCCCTCTAGTTTTTAGCCTAGCTTCAGGGACACACAATAAGAGCTGGTCAGTTGAGCTTAGGGCTTTGGGTGGAGCCTAGGGCTGCAAGAGCTCACTTAAGTAGGAAGGGCCCATGGAGTTTAAACACTTAAAAACAAATAAAACCTTACATTTTATCCTAAAAGCAACAGGGAGCGAAGGACATGCAAAACTGAGATAATGGATTCACGCCTACTTGTTTTGGTCAGCAGACGAGCTGCAGCATTTTGTATGCTCTGCGGTTACTACAGGGAGCGCTGGTCCAACCCTAAGTACAAAGAGTTATAATAATCTAAACGTGATGTAATAAATCCTTGAATATCCTTCTCAAAATCAGGCAGAGGAAGACAGCATTTTATCTTAGCAAGGGTCCTCAGCTGGAAGAAACTGGCTTTGATAACAATGCTAATATGCTAATCAAATTTAAACATAGGATCAACAATCACACCCAGATGTTTCACGAATGGACGACAAAAAGAAGACAGGGGACCAACAACACTGTCATGTCCAAGCAGGGGATTGCATTGACCAAACACTAAAATCTCAGTTTTTTCCTTATGTAGGATAAGAAAATTTGCTCTTATCCATGCCTGTACACCCTGAAGACAATCCTGTAGCATATGTACAGCAGACTGGCTGTCAGGGTGTACAGAAAATGGATGGATGGATGATTCATAAAGAACATCATGGTTCATTGATAAAATACAGACCTGAAATAAACAACTCACCTCCAAACATTAACACAATTCAACAGGCTTCCTTAGTTTTGATGTCTTTATTAATGGATTAAATTTGTTTTTCAATAGATTTTAGACCATATTATAACACAAAATTGTCTGCTTGGAATTCCTACAGATGAAAAGATCTGAATAAATATTCTCCATGAGCGCGATGGTTTCTGTGTTTTTGTCTGATGTCGCATAAACAGTGAGTAAAGAAAGTATGCAGACCTCTTTAAATTGTTCACTCTTTGTGTCATTGCAATTTCTGCAGCACTTGAGATTCCTAAGAGCACAGTTACCTCCATAATCCTTACATGGAAGAAGCTTGGGACAATCAGAACTCTACCTAGACCTGGTCGTTCAGGCAAACTGAGCAATCGTGGGAGAAGAGCCCAAAGATCATTGTGGCTGAGCTCTAGAGATGCAGCAGGGAGATGGCAGAAAGTTCCACAAAGTCAACTATCACTGCAACCCTCCACCAGTTGAGGCTTTACGGCAGAATGGCCCAATGGAAGCCTCTTCTCAGTGGCAGACATGTGACAGCTCACACTGAGTTAGCCAAAAAACACATGAAAGACTCCCAGACCGAGAAATAAGATTCTCTGGACTGATGAGACGAAGATCGAACTTTTTGGTGTTAATTCTAAGGGATATGTGTGAAGAAAACCAGGCACTGCTCATCACCTGCCCAATACAATCTCAACAGTGAAACATGGAGGTGGCAGCATTATGCTATGGGGTTGTTTTTTTTCAGCTGCATGGACAGGACGGCTGGTTGCAGTTGAAGAAA